ATGCACAGCCACTAATGATTCAAGCTGTACCTTCTCCCATGTGGACTTATCCATAGCCATAGATGCTTTAGGGTGTCTTGCTCCCACGTGGACTTATCCACAGGTCACAGTCCCTTCAACTCAAGTTCACAGTGGAGTTCCAGCTTGTCCAGTACAGCAGCACAGAAACAGCAGTGATGCCCTGGTCATCTGCCAGCCCAGACACACGGCCATTGCTGTTATCAAAACTTTCCCGGCACAGCAGAGGAACATGATAAGCACTACAGCAAGCAGTAAAAGCAAAAAGCAGCTACTAACGAACACCAGCCTCTGATTTACACTAAAGGCAAATAAGCCCCATGGCAAGCACAGGAGCCTGCTGATTAATGGCTAAACACCTATAATTTCATTCTAACACATTCCAATCAAATCTGTCAGCGCAGGGCCACAAAGATGATTAAGGGAGTAGAGCATCTCCCTTATGAGGAAAGGCTGAGGGAGCTGAGTCTCTTTAGCTTGGAGAAGAGGAGACTGAGGGGGGAACCTCGTTAATGTTTATAAATACGTAAAGGGTGACTGTCATGAGGATGGAGCCAGGGTCTTCTCAGTGGCATCCAATGATAGGACAAGGGGAAATAGATATAAGCTGGAACATAGGAGGTTCTGCTTAAACATGAGGACGGACTTCTTCCCAGTAAGGGTAACAGAACACTGGAACAGGCTGCCCAGAGAGGTTGTGGAGTCTCCTTCTCTGGAGATGTTCAAAACCCACCTGGACATGTTCTTGTGTGATCTAATCTAAGTGGTCCTGCTCCGGCAGGGGGATTGGACTAGATGATCCTTTGAGGTCCCTTCCAATCCCTAACATTCTGCAATTCTGTGATTATCTCCAACCCTTTGAGCCCCACATCAGGCACCAAAAAGGACTGTCGTGGCTTAACACTGGCTGGTAACCAAGCCCCCAGCAGCCGCCCGCTCCAGTGAGATGAGGGAGAGTCGGAAGAGTAAAAGTGAGAAAACTCTTGGGATGAGATAAAGACAGTTTAATAGGAAAAGCAAAGCAAAACAAGGAATCCATTCACTGCTTCCCATGGGCAGGCAGGTGTTCAGCCATCTCCAGGAAAGCAGGGCTCCACCACGCATAATGGTGACTTGGGAAGACAAACACCATCACTCTGAACGTTCCTCCCCACCTTCCTTCTTCCCCCAGCCTTATATGCTGAGCGTGACATCGTATGGTATGGAATATCCCTTTAGTCAGTTGGGGTCAGCTGTCCCGGCTATGTCCCCTCCCAGCTTCTTTTTCACCCCCAGCCTACTCGCTGGTGGGGTGGGGTGAGAAGCAGAAAAGGCCTTGACTCTGTGTAAGCACTGCTCAGCAAGAATGAAAACATCCCTGTATTACCAACACTGTTCCCAGCACAAATCCAAAAACGTAATCCCATGCTAGCTATTGTGAAGAAAATTAACTCTATTCCAGCCAAAAGCAGCACAAAGATGCTTTCAGGTCTCTGAATTAGGGCTATTGTTTGACAGCAGAGTTATACAGACTATCATTATCACTATGCATTGCTTTTATGGATTAGACCTGTCTTGTATCTGTTTTTGTTTTTTTTCAGCAGTGTTTTAGGCTTTGCTTTGTTCACATTTCACCCAACCCTGTGAGCGTACATCTAAAGCTCAGAAAGCTCAGAGTATGGGAATGGTTACCTCAGCTTTTGGAAGGCTGAGATGTTTTAAAGCAGGCATGGTAATGCTTCACTACTGTAAACTCAAGGGATTACTGATTATCTGCAGCAAACTTGCCACAGCTAACATTGCTTCATGAACTTGCCACTACAGGGCAATACGGGTCTTCTGTGGGAGGCACGGATGCCCTCTGCTAACACAGGGGGCAATACGGGTCTTCTGTGGGAGGCACGGACACCCTCTGCTAACACAGAAGGTCCGGCTTTGTTTACTTTGCTTCTCTGGCTGCCTTACACGTTATACACTGATTGATGTCGTGCTGCTTTGTCACTCACCGGCCTGGGCTGCAGCTCCAAGGATGCTATTGCATCTTCCGCACCCAGGAGGAAATGGCCCACCTTTTGTAGGCAGGGTCTAAATCTTAGTTAATTATAACTATATTCAATTCAGGCCAGATGGGTAATAATAATTGGATGCCATAATTCCCCCTTTTAGTTTTACAGGTTTTTTTGTTTTCAAAGGTTTTTCAAGAAGGCTTTACAGTGAGCAGAGACCCAGTCCATTCATTCCAACTCCAGCACGCTTCCCTCCCACGAATATCACATCAGGGCTTGCAGCTTTACCTTCTTCACCAAAGGACTCTTGCTCCAGCTCTGGCTCTTTTTGGCTCTGGCTCTCAGCTCAGGCTCTGGCAAGAGAGTCAGGGTTGCAGTCTTCAGGGTCTGTCATGTTTGTATCACGTCGGGGTCACCAGATGTCACTCACCAGCCTGGGCTGCAGCTCCAAGGATGCTATTACATCTTCCACAGCCAGGAGGAAATGGCCCACCTTTTGTAGGCAGGGTCTAAACCTTAGTTAATTAGTTAATTATAATTATATTCAATTCAGGCCAGCTGGGTAATAATAATTGGATGCCATACTGCTTCTGTGCGAATAGATAAAACAGTCAGGCTCATTTTTTATTGCCAGCAGCATGGGGCCTGGCACAGCTTACATCTGTATGCACCATCCCCAGCCAGAGTGATCTTTTCCATTCCGCCTACCAAAAACCGCCTGTCCAGCATTACCACCCCAAACACGCCCAGGCCTTGAGAGGACTGTGCTAATGGGAATTGGGCAAAACAGTATGAGGGAGGATGGTAAAGATTAAGTAGGGTGGATACGGGACAGCGCTTGAGCCCATACACAGTTCCGTTTAGTTTCTCAGTATGGATTTCACCCTGGCAAGCTGTCACACTGCCCCTGTTCATGAGGGTGAAGGTGACAAGTATCATACACTCTTATGTTGGTGGGGCTTCACATGCCATTATGCTCGTGGGATGGCCCACTCAGTTCCCCTAAGATTGCCTACACAGTTCCCCTAAGATGTTGCCATACACAGTTGAGAGCAGCTCAAATGTCAATATAAAAAGCCTCTGGATGTCACTCAATATCTGAAGCTACTCAGTTGTCACTCCTACTGTAGGACAATACTTTGCTCACTGGTGATACAAAAGAATACTCAAGTGACACTACAGGTTTTCCAAGAGAAAGAATATCAATTTACCTTAAAACTGGAGCTACAACCTTCTGCCAGCATAACTGGCATATGACACAACTGCATTGGTCTTCCTTCTTGCTCTCTCCGCCATGAAACTACACTAGGCAGAATCAGGAAAGGGAGTAAAGCACATTTCCAGGATGCTTTATGCACTTCTTGTTGCATTTAATTTGGCTTTGGCTGGCCCAGGTTTTAGCGGTTAACACGTGTCGAATATGTGTGCTGCTGAGTAGTCTGTGTGCAGGTGGGTGCAAGGTTGAAATGTTGCTATTGCAGTGAGGTCCTAGAGCATTAACAGAGGCAATAGCCCATTCCCTCCTTCTGATGCAAACCAGATCTGAACAGAGATAGGTAAACTTTTTAGTTGTAAACGGTCAAAGGTCCTGTCTTTTCTTAGCTGTGAAAGATGTTTATTGCAAAGTAGCAGTCCCGTTTGTGACTCATGACAGTTCCTAGGTATGCCAGTCATTGTAACTCAGCAGGGCTTGTTATTAATAGCCCTTAAAAATAGCACGTTACTTATCACCTCTATTTTCCTCCAAAGTTCATCGTTTAATTTTCTGCTTCATAAAACTCAGAGAGGCTAGTGAGTGCTTGCTCCTTGGGTGGAAATCAACCCAGTGACAGAAGCCTGCTCAGGGATTCCCTTCAGAAACACTAAGCAAGCTATATAGCCATTTCAGTCTAGCTTAGAAAAAGGGGCAATAAAACCTATCTGCAGAAAATTTGCAGGCAGAGATCTTTGCCCATAGATGTTCTTTTTGTCCACATTCACACTTCTGATGTTCAGCTGCCCTGAACCTCTTCCAGTCCTCCATCATTGCTTACATTATTTGACACAAGCTAATTGTTTACAGGGCAGGCAAACAGGGAACAACATGAAAGGACGTTGTGCAACTGTGGCTATGGGAACACAACATAATCCTTCCCCCTCAGCAGAAGAGGCTGAGGATGTCTCCATTGCTTAAGCACACACTTACATTTTAGCATTGTCTGATAAATTCACATGAAATACCCGTAAAGTGTTGGTTGGGGTTTATGCCAGCCTCTGCCTGCCACCTCCCCAGGGTACAGGGCAGGAGGCAGAGGGCAGGGTGGGCAGATGAGGGCTGATGACGGGTCTCTGGACCACTCTCAGCTCCTTGGGTGTGGGGCAGCCACATGTGAACCCTTGCAAGTTCAGTCTGGGCACCTCTGACTCAGAAGTGCCACCTCGTACTATGGCGGCTGGTTTGCTTCCTATTTGGGGCACAACACTCTTCTTTAGCTATTTTAGGTGCCTAAAAGAAATCTACCGTGTCATGTCTTCTTTGCTTTGTCTTCTGCAATGCATGCAGCAGCATGCAAGCAGTCATTTATATCCAGTGTAATTTTGAGTATAAAGTCCCCCAGTTGTATATACACGAGAGAGAGGACAACATTGCTTTTATGGCATTTATGGCCTCTGAAAATACTGGACAAAGGAATTACTGCCTATCCCATGCTGTGCACTGGCAGACTCTCAGTGACAGACTGAAAAGGCTATCATCTAAGACATCAGCTCTCGTATTTCAAGCGTGCCATATACAAAACAAAGTAACAGTGGAGGCCAAAACAAGAGAACCAAAGTTTGTTTAGAAATGGCTTTTGAGAAACAAAGGTGTGATGCATGGCTTGACAATTGACAACGTTAATTAATTATTTGCTTGTGAGTTTTGAGCAAACACTTCAGCTGTTATTTAAGCATGTACTGAAGGGCAAAGCCCTGGAAAGCAGCTAAGTTAGATATTTTAATGAGTTGCAACATACAAAGATGGCAACCTTGGATGACATTTTAGAGCAGATTGGAGAATTCGCCTTCTTTCAGAAACAAGCCCTCTTTGTATTATGTCTGCTTTCTGCTATCTTCACTCCCATTTACATGGGGATTTTTTTCCTGGGATTCACCCCTGAGCACCATTGTCGCAGCCCCGGCGTGGCTGAGCTGAGCCAGCGGTGCAGCTGGAGCCTGGAGGAGCAGCTGAAGTTCCTGAGTGGGGTGGCCACGGGGCCAGTTTCGGCAGCCACTGCAGGAGGTACGAGGTGGACTGGAACGCGGTGGGCATCAGCTGCACTGACCCCCTCAGCAGCCTCATGGGCAACCGGAGCACCGTCCCACTAGGTCCCTGCCAGGACGGCTGGGTCTACGACTCCCTTACCTCTCTCGTGACTGAGGTAACACATAGTTTGTCCAGCAAAATCACTCTTGCCTGCGCACCTTGAAACTAAAAGATATTGGATTGGTAAAGTCTGCTTTTGGTGCACAGCCTGAGCCTGACTGCTAACAAATAGTGAATATCAGGACTTGCTAGGGACTGAGAGCAAAGATTTGTGTGGATAAATAATGGGAAATGATTGCTTTTCCTGGGAGGATAATACTGCAAGCTTGTCATCAATCACACAATGGCTATTCCCATAATTCGGTATTTCAGTCACCAAATTGAGGGTAACACCCCACAGCCCAAACTGAAGAATTGCACGTTTGGGTGATAATCCAAACAGACAATCACATACAATGAACAAGAAGAAGAAATGGGCTAAATTTGTGAGATGATGAGTTAGCAACACGGCATTCTTCTCTTCGAACTTACATTATCTAAACCAGATAATTTAGAAAGTGAAAAACTGCAAACCAGTATGAACTGTCTACAAGCCATGTAGACACCTGAAGCATAGGAAGGACGTCAAGAGAGATCTCTTCTACTTCTCCTCCAGTCTCAAGCCTGTATGAACTATACCTAAACCATGCCTAGCAGATGCTTCTGTAACTCATTCTTCTGGGTACTTCACAGCTTCCTTGGGCTGGGTATTCATATTCCCTTGCTTTACTACTGTCACCATTACAAAGCAATTCCACCTCACTTTCTCTTGGGACAGATGGGCTGAGGTAGAGAAGAGCACTCCCGGCTGTCCTCCACATCATTCAAGCCAGGGAAATCATCCTGAGCTGTTTGGTATGGCTCCAGCAAACTTGTCCGGGTTAGAAAGAGTTTAAAAAAGTAGACAAAGACATTCATGATTCTTCCTAGGTTGACGTCTAGCTACACCTGAATGAATACTTCTAGCTGTAGACAAGTTAATACCACTTTACCCTCCTCCCCTTGCTGGGTGCAGGTTGGTAACCTGTTAACTGTAAATCAAAAGCAAGTGACAGAGTACCGGGTCACTGTAGAAAAAAGTCAACCAAATCATGGGCACTTTGCCAGTGCTAATGAGGAGCAGGACAGTCACCTCGGCTCCCCTCCGACAGGGCTCATGGCAGCCCCGCCACCTCTCACGCCTGGCACTGCCTTCGCACAGCGAGACAATACACACACAGGCCCTGGCATCCGGGAAGGAAGCGATGCTCCAAGCATCCTCCAAATTTCAGTCAGATGGGTGGGGAGGAGAGTGAGATTTTTCTGAACATTCTAATTTGTTCAATCAAAGTTTCTCTCCCTTTCCCACTCTCGTTATGTGTCATTGTGCAATCATTTTCCAGGGTGTAACTTTTCCACAAAGTTTGGGAAAATCCGGACTAGATGCATGGCAGATGTTAGTTTAAGAAATTAAAAGATTTATTTTCTGGGGCCTGTTTCCTGGTTGTGTGTCACTGGTTTCATTCCATTATCCTTCCTTGAAAAGCCATGTTTTGTGTTGAATGTTCCCGCTCTTCTAACTTTGGCTGCCCTTGCAGTTTAGCCTGGTGTGTGAGGACTCCTGGAAGCTGGACCTCTTCCAGTCATGTGTGAATGCCGGGTTTTTTTATTGGATCCATGAGCATTGGCTACATAGCAGACAGGTAGGTAGTATAGACAGGTGTGACATGAACTGTTTCCTCAGGTTACTTGCTTTCTGCACGTCACTGAACAACATTCACGATTCAAAGAGGAAATGAATGTACTTAAACCTTGATCCAAAAGGCCCATGTGTCACTTACAAAGGGGTGGATGGATGGTGGTTCCTAAGCCCCAGCTTTCAAAGGCTGTTGTGATCCAGGAATCCATGGAAATGCCATGGTGTTGCTCCACTTTTATAGCCTCTCAGTGGCTCCACAGGGAATCTGCACATTCACAAGTGAAGAGATTTTGTTTTCTTCCGCAGTGGCAAACTGCAACATGATCTCAGATCTTGAGATGAAATTTTAACTCACATACCAAGATCTATTTGCCCGTCTTCATGACAAATTTGTTTCACATTAATTTTTGACAGTATCCAGATGGCCATCAATCAGTTTCAAAATAGGAGTGTTTAGAAATAGAAGTTGCTCCTTCTTAAATTTTCTTTGGTCCCCTTTTTGTCAGCTGGCTCTGTATGTAGCCAGATCTTGACCTTATTATCGCTCACCTCCTCTTTTCCATCACAAATGTCATCATACCATAGATCTGCCCACTGGTGTTTTGGTTTTTTAGGTTAGATTCTAAACAAATTTAATACTTTCTAGGTGACTTTCCTGTGAGTGTTTACCAAATTTTTCAGTAAAATGGTAAGAGAGGCTAAGATTGGAACTGGAGAAGTGAAGGTAACATAGGGTAAACAATCCTTCCGTAGAGCTAGTCTGTCTCGGAGAAATGGTTTTTTTTCCTTTTAGTCTCAAAACATACAAGAGCGCTGATGAGCAATAGCTTTTTCCCCCCATGCTGGTCAGACCTCAGAATCATCTCTGTTGGACAGATATTGCCACTATTCCCTTCTTTTCACTTTTGCCCTCCTCCACAGGGGAAGCTCTATGGGAAGGGGCACAGACATCCTCCATAGTACTTCTGCAGTGTTACAAAACAAGGATGGGACCGTGTTTGTCTCGCTGATCCCCAGTCCTGTGTTTCGTTGTGGGCAAACACATCATCTATTAGGTTGTGCACACCACCTTTGTGAGGAAAGTGGCTACCACAGTCCCAGCTAACCCCAACCTGTCCCTTCACAAGGACAAACCATGCACAGATTGGACTGACCACTCTCCAGTCCTCAGTAAACCATTACCTTACTGCCAGTGAACCAGACAATGTCGGAAGCTCTCTGCTTAAATGGATTTGTTATCAGAAGATAGTGATTTATCAAAGTAACTCTTCCTGGCCACATCTTGTGTGGGGCTGCACTTTTGGCAGAAAGCTCTCTCAGGTGAAAGACATCAAATGGCTACAGTAGTACCACAAAGATCCTACATCCAGTCTTCAGTCCTGGTTTGGAGTCCCCTGTCTGATTTGAAGGACAAAGGTTGACACACACCAATTTTTGCTTTTCTTCATGTGCATCTTGAAAGATTTTGGTTTCTTTTTTGTGTCAGA